TACTGAAATGATATTCGGATCTAGATTACAGTTTGTGCAGAAAAAAATGTGAAGTCTGGACAATGTATCAAAATATGTGCATCTCTCATTCTTTTAAATAACGGTTGGTTCAAAGCAAAGTTTAAAACTATCAAATGGAAGTGCAAATAAACACTATAATAAATAACTCACGTGCATGCATGAGGAGGAGGGACTGGGGGGCCTGCCGTACAAGTTATTTCGCCTGCAAAGGTCAAATCCTCGCATATGGCTGAAAATGAAGAGTTTTTTTAGTTGTTTTTCTGAAAACTCAACCAAAATGATATAGGAAATAAAATAGAGTAGTAAATAAACATTTTCAATAAAGTATTGTATACTTCACACATCGTGTATGCATGGGTATTATTCACCTCAGGATCGTGTTCCAAATTTATCATCAAAACTTTGAAATGGAGTACACTCAATTGTTAAAAGATATAAACCATGGAGTTAAAAGCTGAAATGTCAACTCAACATACATGATTTACTAACAAATCTTCACAAAAGTCAGTATTACCACATCATGTTTGGTACAGAGTGTAAAGAAACATTCAAATTTAAATCGTTCTATGTTTGTGGTAGTTATATTTCAGTTCAACTTATTATATAAGTTCATTTCATTTTTATAAATGTGATTAATTTACACTTATTGTAGTAAAACTACATACGGTTGCATCCAGGGGGCTTTCCGTCCCAATATGCGGAGTCGACTGGGCCAATACAAGTGATGCTTGTTAGTCCATCGAGCAAATAACCGCCTGAACAGGTATATCTATAAAACGACAACACATACATTTTTGTAGTCACTGTATAATACTGAGTTTACCAATCTAAATAGTTGTTCATGGTGAAAAATACCTTCAAATATCACAGAACATCATTTTAAGACAAAGAGTATTTGTGGAGTTGGTTAGTTGGTTATTGCTGTTATTGCGTTAATAATGAAGATGGGGGTATGCATCTGCAATACCCTGATTATTATCTCTTTTTACCAGATTTCAGAGCCTGTTTGTCTGACATGTCAATTGATATGAATTTTGCAATATGTATAATAAAAATTTAAATGTTTTTATGGACGGTACATTTACAGTTTCATTCTGGAATGCTATATTGGAGTAAAAAATTAAAAAAGGGATAAAGTAGTTTTCAAAAATAAAAATTTATCTAACGTGAAAATAATGAAAGCAGAAAAATCAACAATAAATGCTCTCAAAAGTAGACATGAGACAGACCAAAATGGTTTAGTAAAATGAGATCAGAAATTGCTGGTGAACAATGCCTGCAACAACAATGCGCGTCTAACCATACTTCATCGAACTAAAATATACTCACGAGCAGACACTCCCGTGAAAGTAAGATTTGGTACAATCTTCAATGAGTCCCGGTTTTGAATATCTAGTTGGTGGACAATGATTTCCTGGATAAATTGATAAATTTGCAAGTAAATTGAATATTAATATTTCATAATTTTTTTTCGACTTTCTGTGACATCTGGTCAATTTTCAATATTAAAAAGTATAATACATATGGCTTCCTAGTGCAAAAGTAGCAGACAGATCAAGTGTAGAATAGTGGGTGCAGGCCTTGATCAAAGAAAACGAATCGAATACATTATGGTTAAATGATAAATAGGAAACCACTAAATCTCAGCTGTTACTAAATGTTAGATTAATGAACAAAAATGTAGACCTATGGATCCTTTTATAAAATTGTTAGTGTGATTTATCATGTCTTTGTTAGTTTTTAAACTGATAATGATAAAATCATTTTTATGTCAAACTGTCAGTTTGAAGTACTCAAATTGAACGTGTTTTGATTTATATGACAGATGTGTAACTCAAGTGTCGAGTATATTTCAGGACTACCAGTTACAATTATCCACCTAAATATGGATAACAAAATCATTATTTTAAATACCGCTCACCTTGGGGTATCGCGCTGAGATATTTAGATGTACTTTTCGAATATTAGAGAAAAATAAATTATAATATAATAGGATTTGAAGATCGGATTTTGTTTAGTATGTCATCAAATTTTTAGTAATTATGCTCAAACCCTAATATACTACCAGCTATTAATGAGAAAAAAAGAAGCGAATATATATGCCAGTTTTTATAAAAAGATTTTTCTCACAAATTTTTATAAATTCCACAAATACAGTTGTGATTTCTCGGTAACGATTTTAGCTATATTAATGGTTGTGGTAATGTTTTGTTGGAAAATCATATGAAAAAACGTAAAGATTAATCAGATGTGATCAGTTATTAACTCTCTACTATAGTAGTTTACTATAGACACAACATCTCTCAAGATCGAGGTTGTTTTTCTTGCAAGTTTTGGGGCATTAGGTCGCATAAGTAGACTATTATTGGAGAATTACTTTTTAAAGGTATATAACCAAATGGAACTCTAGCACACGTTTCAAACAATCCATGAGCGAAGGTTTAGGGACGAAAAAATTTAAAATGACCTATGCAAAATGACCTCAGGAAAGAAAGCGGCCCGACGGGAAGTTTCAAAATTAGAAACTGCTAATACGTGTTTTATGATGGAAATGTTTGAGGCCATATTTTTAACTCGAGGCCATATCACCATCAGGTTATAAGAAAAATGGAGTTCAAATTTAGTTCAAGTCAATTTCCATTCATTTAGTGACGCCATACAATCACATATTCACCGTCCAAATACCCGATTTTATTTATTCCTAATATTTTCTTGAGGCAAGTTTTTGTGTATATCTAACTTTTCGAAATAATACTACTATTTTAATAAAACTACAAAGTTCAAAGTATTGCTGCATACTAAAAACGAATTTATTTCTGTAACGTTTTGTCTGACCAAAATTAGACTTCCTCAGACAAGCAGTTTACAACAATGACTAGAAAAGAACAATTATGCGGTTTAATTTGACTTAAAAAAATGCATGATATGCATACGAATCCACTAGTGCTAAGGCACTGAGAAAGTAATGAAAGTTGTCCAACCTCTACTGACAACTACTTTAAAAAACTGCAGTTTTAATCGGGTCAATCAAATTTTATTTTGCAATAGCAGCCGACAACCCCATCGCTCAATGTCCGGACCAGACAAGGCTAAATAATCAGTCAAATTAGTACTCATATCTTTATTTAGAAATTTTCGCTTTATTTTACCTCATTCTCAAAAATACTGTAATGAACATTAAACTAGGGGAATATACATTTTGCCATTCCACAGCAACATAATCTTATAACATGTAAACAAGTTGTAACTTGTCTACTGGAGCAATACAAATTAACTAGCGGAATTTTAGACATTTATTTAGCATGAGCTGCTTCTACCATTTAACCCGCTGGCCACTGGCTCTAATATATTACGCGATACCAGACAAAAACACTCGTACACAGCTATAAAAATCCAGCACCACTCGGCATTTTAGCGCTATATGAATCATTTTCGAGCATTTCACGGGGAAGATGTTTTTCACGTGTGATTGGTGATAAATCAACCTTTTATATCAGGAAAAAGATTTTTTGCGCAAGGTGTCATATCACGTTATCCAGTTCTCCGAAAATAGCATATTAGCAACCAATAAAACTTGCTTTAAAAAAATAGTTTTTGAACCTATTTGTGACGACCACTAAAATGCGCAAGAACTACAAAAACCGAAGAGAACTATAATGGTGCACACCGTAATGGTCAATGCCTGCGGACGAGCAAAATGCCGGCGGGCTTGTTCATCTATGGTAATTACCTATATACAGAGAGGAGCCAATGGCTGATAATCAATACTACTTAATACAAGAAATAACCAAATAGCATTGGAACCAGGCAATTCATTGCTTCTAAAATCAATATCGAAATAACAAAAACAAATTGTGCAGTAGCATATTCCAATCCAAATATAAATTTCTGTATTAAATTTTTTAAAACGTATTTTTTTTTAAAAAAATGGATGATATCATTTAAGTATTTAAAAAAAGTGCATTGCCAAAATGGAACTAACTAAATACCAACCTTCTGTTAGATGCAAAAATAGAGCAATCAAAACGTAGGAAACTTCCCAGAACTTCTTCTCCATGATATTAGCCTATATCGTGCTCGCTGTCAACTGAGACGTCGTTTATAAACCATGTTATGATGCCAAAAAAATTTCTTCCATTTACAATTTTGCTCCAGGCAAATCTAAAAATATGTGAAAGTCATTAGAATAATTAAATTAATTAAATAATTTACTTTTGGTAATGGTCACACACAATAACTTAATTCTGTCAAGCCATGTGTAAGACTCAAATTATGTTTACCTTTTCTGATCACGGAGCACGAATTTCTCATGGGAAACGTGAAAAACATAGTTCATTTTTGTACATGGAAGACATGGAAGAAATTTTTTTGTCATCAAAACAGATCACTCATTTGGTTTTCTGTAGAAGCGCACTTCCGGCTGTCAGGACATGATAGTGTTTACTGCGGCACAGCACATTAAAATGAAGTCTTACAGAGACTTTTACACTCAGTAAAGTGCATGACATTTGTTGCCATTTCCAAACATGGCGTAATCGGTCTGTATTGATTTGAACGCAAAAATGAAAAGCCTAAACAGTGAATATCGAAAGCTGCGCGATGGTCCAACTGCGAAGTTTCTCACAGGTTTGTGCCATTTCTGCCTTAACTGCAATGTTGGCAGATATTCTTTCAACCACCTCTTCCAGAAACAATCTGTCATTAATTGTACCTGTCGCCATGACTTCTTATATCCATCCGCTTTCATGAATTGATCAGGAGGGAGATTCGGATTAGGCCGACCAAGTAACAACATATTAGGACTCAAAGTTGCGAGATCATCCGGGCCGGACAAATTGGTCTCCCATTTAAAATGCTTTCACACTGTGTTGTCAATGTATGTAGAGCATCATCATCCAACAACCTCTCCCCAGCAATTGCTCTCATCAATTTCCGGAAAGATCTTATCATTCTCTCCCAAGCTCCATTTGTATGAGAAGCTAAAGACACAGAAAGCCACCATTCAATGTTTTGCTGCTGCATAACTTTACAAATCTGATTTTGATTCCAATTTTGAATCCCTTAACGAAGTTCTCTCTCAGCCCCGTAAAGTTCGTTCCATTGTCACTGTACATTTTCCTTGGTCGCCCACGCCTGTTTATAAATCTCTGAAACACATTAATGAACGACAAAGTATCCAGCGAATTAGCCATCTCGATATGAACCGCTCGAGTAGCCATACAGCTGAACATACACCCATAAATTTTCTCCTCACTCCTGCCTCTCTTCACCAGTATTGGTCCAAAATAATCACAGGCAGTTTCCATAAAATCATTTTCACTAGGTGTCACTCGAACTTTTGGTAACGGTGCCATCACTTGCTCCCCCACTTCAGAATTCCATCTACGACAAGTAAAACATTTGCTCAACCTTCGACGCACAGTTGCATGCCCCTTAATAATCCAAAATTTCTCACGAATTGCAGATAAAACATGCAGAGTACCACTGTGACCTTCTCTTTCATAATACAAATCAATCACCAAATTTGTAATATGACTATCACTCGGCAAAATTACTGGATATCTACTTTCCAATGGCATATCGTCACGCTAATAACCGAGTTACGTAAGTCATTTTTGGCGATTTCGAGTTTTTTATAAAATAGGTATTTATGTGATGCTGCGCACCTGTCTGTTAACTCAGATTTTATTTTAAAAATTCCGAAACCCATAAAAATGAAGATTTAGTATGACATGCACATTTGTGCAATTGTTTCGTCATAATGAATTATCTTTGTCCCACACAGGACTATTGTGACGTCACAAAGGCAAAATAACCTCGGCGAAGTATTTTCGAGTTTTTGCATCTCGGATTTTAGCTTAGCGCGTATTAATTTGAATTTATACTACAGTATAAGGAGGCGTGCACTTGTGATATCCACTGTCCGAGTCCAATACACCTTGGTTGGCTTTTATATTGGGTGCATTGCTGTTTTATTCTTTATATTTATTCTTAGTCTTATTTCGGTGGGTGTACAGAATGTGTTATATTGATGAAATTTATATTGATAAGTTATATTGATATATTTTTAAACATAAAAATAATGTAATTGAAACTGATAAGCTATTTTGGGGATTAGACATTGTAGATACTGAATATTACATTCGTTTTTGGAATGTTAGTTTTCAGGACTGGTGCATATAGTAAAGTTGCAAAATTGCGTATGTCCCCAAGTCATAGACACATTTCTGCCTAAGTCACAGTGCGCCGTTATGACGTCATTTAACTGCGTCATACAAATTAACTTAAATCCGGCTACGATCAAAAAATTGAACCATGGCAAATTATTGACTCTCAATGGCATAACAATATCATAAGGTAGTTTTTTACGTTTTTCTCAAAACTGCTAAAAATGACTTACGCAATTCGGTTATTAGCGTGACGATATGTGAACGATCAAGATGACCACCGACTCTCAGAATCCCTTTTACAACAATAGGATTCAATTTCTGTATTGATTTCATCTGCTCATTTCTCGACAATGACCTCTTCGGCGTTCTGATGATCTTTTCTTCCAAAGATGAATGATTATGCAATGCATCAAATTGTTTTCCAAACTGCTCTCATTGCATAAATTTTACTATGCAATCAATCGCACAATTCAATTCACGAATCTCAAGATGTCCTCGTTTCAGCAGACTAATATCTCCATCACCTCGAGATTTAGCCACCTTCCATCTGAGATAAGATCAATATCTCAACAGCCAAGCTGTCGATCTCTGAAGTTTCTCCAATTTAGAATATTTCGAAAGCAAACGTTTGATTGGATTTTCCTTCAAGTTATCTTTAACACAATATACAGTCAAATCCTGTTTCAATTCACGACCACTATTTGATATGCCACGGATAGGTTTTAATTTTGGCCACATGCGTTCTTCCTTTATCAAAAACGCAGGACCTTCAAACCAGATTTTTGATTTGTCCAACTGACACGGTTTCAAACCTCGAGATGCAATATCAGCCGGGTTACATTTTGTGTCAATATGTCTCCACTGCGAAGGCTCTGATCCTTCATGAATAACAGCAAGACGATGCGCCACAAAGGTATGAAAGCGTCTTGTCGTATTAGTGATATACTGCAACACTGACATTGAATCGGTCCAATAAATGATTTTATCAATTTTATACTCCAGTTGAGTCTTCACTAACTGACCCAACTTCACTGCAACCACTGCCGCAGTCAACTCTAGCCTTGGTATAGTCACTGGTTTTGAAGCTGTCACTCTTGACTTTCCCATAACAAAACTACAATGCACCGATCCATCGGACTTATTCAACATTTGCAAATAGCATGCACATCCATATCCAATTTCACTTGCATCCCAAAAAATATGCATTTGAATCTCACCAGGGTCATTCGTATCCGAACATTTCAAACAACGAGGAATAGAAACCTTTCATTCACCAAGGTCTTTGCTCCTCTCGACAATTGCTGATAAATTTTGTGAGATGGAACCCACCGCTTTCTAGTAGAATAGATAACTGCTTCACTAAATTGATAGCGTAATCACTCTTTGCCAAGGATTTCAACAAATCGTCAACATAGAAATTCTTCAGCACAGTATCAACTACAGATTGGTCAACACCTGGCTCATTATCTGAAGCACATCTCCTCAAAGCGAAACCTGCAACTGATGGGCTTGAACGGCTTCCAAATATGTGTACCAAAATGGAATAGTCACTTGCTGGAGATGACAAATCACCATTTGGCCACCACAAAAAACGAAGCGAGTCGCAATCTTCTGGCCTCACTCTCACCTGATGAAACATAGCCTTGATATCTGCCATCACACCAATTCTTTCTTGTCGAAACCTCAACAAAACTCCCGCCAAATTATTCGCATAATCTGGTCCTTGTAATAAATTATCGTTCAATAAAACCCCACGAAAAGTTCCGGCCCCATTGAAAACTACACGAAATTTTGATTGTTTCGTACTATAATGCCCCAAATAAAAAGTTTTGTTACTAGTCACCAATTCATCATTAGGTATTTTTCTTGCATACCCATTATCCAGATAATCATTTATCACGCTCTTATAACGCTCAAATAATTCTGGGTCTCGAATAAATTTCCTCTTTTGGTACACTAATTGTTTCTCCACCATGGCACGATTATTAGGAAGTTTCACCTCTTTATTTTTCCATGGGAGTCCCACCTCATAATGTCTAGTAACTTTTCGAATAGTCTTTTCCATGATAGACAATGCCCGCTTGTCTTCAACAGAATGTGAGGATGCAGATTCACATGCATTATCAATAAAATCATGCTCATAAATCTGACACAATTGACGATGTAAAATATTATCATCACAATGAATAAAATTCACAAAATTATTATCACAACTAGAATCACTCTCAGGGCCAAACAGTGTCCACCCCAACATGGTTTCACCGCTTTGGGCTGTCCCCTTTTCCCACGTTTAACCTCAAACACATCATGGGCATCCGGGGCATTTGAGCCTATAAGAAGCTTAACCTCCTTATGAATAGAATCAGAAATATCAACATGGGAAAAATGTGAATACACTTCAGTATATCACGTACACTGGGAATACTCGATTTCAAGTTGGGCAATCGCTCAACAGTTAGAACTCTATCTAGCACTAGAAAGTTGCCTGCAGCCATGGCAGTCAACGATAACTCAAACCCCTCTTGGATTTTATGACCAGTCACAGTCTGCACAGAAAAATTGGTTTTTACCCCACTTATACCTAGCTCCCTCATGAGCCCATTGGTACAAAGGGACACCGTAGATCCTGGGTCTAACAGGGCATAGGTCGATATCTCCTATGGCCTTACCCCTGACCGTGACTGGTAACAATTTAAATCTAACATTCCCAACTTCTCCCGTAGCCTCCACGCTACAAGAAGTTGCTCCACACGTAGATTTCTCACCGGTCCCACTGACCGGAGCACTCGTCTTATTACCTGAACAAAAACTTCCAGAATTAGTAGAACCACCCGGCTTCTGCCGAGGTGGGAAATGCAGCAGCACATTGTGCTTTTTGCCACATCCATCAACATTACATACCACATTGCGAGTAGACTCATTTGCCATGTGACCATTTAAAAGGCAATTATAACACAAATCATTTTTGCCCACCCACAATGACCTCTCTTTAGGAGTCATTTTCTTAAACTTCAGGCATTTCCACAAAGGATGTTGATTACCCGACCCAAAAAAAGACAATCAAACTTGGCAATGACCCCCCTACTAGGTATAGCATTAGAATCGGTCACAAAAGAGGACCCCGCTTATAATTACACATGACCGAATTGCCTTTTTGGCAATGTCCTTCGTACAGAATGATAAGCTTACGATTTGCTGGGATAATTTCTACATCAACTGCAGCTGTAAATTCACTCAGAAACTCTGGATACCTCAGTTGATCACCATCAAACTCAGGTAGATCAACTTTCAGATGTTCACCCATTGATGCTGGACATGTCGGAATCACCGGATACACAGGAACTGCAGAATAGCTCCAAGATGTTGCTGGTACACTCGAACCGTAAACATTCTGGACAGGAACACTGCTCACACGTTGAGATTCACCCATTCCAGACACGCCACTCGTGACTGGGAAATGGCTCGCCACCGACACACAACCTGTGGCCGGGGCATAACTCGACACCGGCATGCTACTCATTACCGGATTTTAAACATAATGTCCAGATTGTACAAACGATGTAACAGGAACCTCGGACGATCTCAGTAGTCCAGGATTAGACATGTTTATAGCACCAGTCAATGTTGAAGTCATCAATGGCACACGATCATCAGAAAGATCTTTCATTACAGGGGAAACCACAACAGGCTTTGACTGCAATGCAGAGTCCAGTCTTTATAAAAGGCACGTTAGATTTAGGCTCATAAATGTTCACAAATTTAGGTTTTGTCAATGTTTCTGTTCCATTCACATCACCAAATTTTTTAGAGGCACAACTTGTATGCTCCAATTGCGGATTGCTATCCAAATTAGATCTCATGATAGATCCTTCAGTTTCTTCGTAACTCTGAGCTATCAGTTTTGCTTCATCTGAAAGATGTCAAGTGCTCGTTTTTTCACACTTAATTCTGTTTCTAAACCCTTTTTTTCAATGTTCACTTCGGCATCTAATTTCTCCTTCTCCAAAATTGCTTGTTCCGTTCACGTTTTGCTTTAAGGTCAGCTAGTCTAGCATCCAGTCGAGCTCTAGCAGCTACAGACGATCTTACAGATGATTTATTCGAAGATTTACTTCGATGCCAAGCAACACTCGTTTTTCTTGATTTACTAGACACTGAGTTATTCTTGCTGGCAGCAGCATTGTATCGCTGCAAATATTCACCATATAATTTATCACATACCGCTTTCTTCCTGGCGATTTCATCACGCTTTATAGTCGCTTTTTCAAACTCAAGTTTGTCCATTTCCAGACCAGTATTGACAGAATTTCGAACCTCTTCACATGCTTTAATACAGTTCTCAAATGCAGCATCCACAGCTTCTTTTGTACCCACAGCTTCTTTGTATTTCTGTGGGTCAAGCATTACATTTTCAATAGTTTTCAAGAGCTTTGTGAAGTGGCTTTCATATCCCGCACGAGATCTTTTCTTTTTCATTCTCAGCTTCCAGTGGCGGCGCGTCAATAGGGCCAACCGGGGCAATGCCCTGGTTGTTTTTTCGGTATAATAAAAAATATTCGAAAAATACCTCAATATCGGTTGCACAGACTGTCTACACTAGCCATATTCTCCCGACATGGTTCATTTTTCGCTCGCAAAGCCTTCGCCGAACGTCGACGGGGCGACGCCGATTTTGCCCCGGTTGCTCATTCTATATCGTATTCTCTCTTTTATCTTCCACTCGCCGCGTCTCGTTTGTTTTCTGTTTCTTTTACTAAATCATCGGGGCTAGCCCCAAATTATGACGACACAATGCCGACGTTTCTTACAACAACGTGTTGACATATTCACGCATTCCTTCTCGTTCGTTGGTTGCTTGAATATCCTCGCCTTCGTTTTTGTCGCTTGTTTCGCTATTTGAATCAGTTAGAGACCTTTGATTTTCCACATTCCTTTTGAGCTCCTCACTTCTTTCCGGTTTCTCATTTCGTAGCCTTAGACCTCATAATGAATAAAGTTGACGCACTACTTCGCACTCCGTTTTCGCAGCTGCCGCTGGAACAAAAATTAGAGGTACAACGTCTTGGGCCTTATCAACCGAAAAATTGTTCACTGGAACAATCCCATGACGGAGGAAAGCGTCGGCGTACATTCTGCGCAGAAACTTGGTATAAAAAACACGAATGGTTGTGTTACAGCGAGGACAACAATGCACTTTTTTGTTTTTATTGCCTACTTTTTGCTACCGCCCGTGACTCACGTTGGTGTAGATTTGGTTTTAGAGATCTTAAACATCTTTCCGAGCGTGCCAGGGAACATCAATCTTCTATGGAGCATCTGGACAATGCAGTAAAATACCGAACATTCGGAAATGTTAATATTGCAGCACAGTTGGATGAAGGACGCGCGGTTTCTATTCGTCGGCACAACCAAAACGTCGAGAAAAACCGCCATGTTCTCGGTCGATTGATAGATGTTTTGAAGTTCATTGGTTGTCACGAGCTGTCCCTCCGTGGGCACGATGAACGGGCTGGCTCTTCTAATAGAGGGGTAATTTTGGATATGGTGGAATACACCGCATCCCTAGATACAGTATTGAGAGATCATCTTGATGCCGCAACTGTTTCGAAAGGGACATCTAAGAATATCCAAAATGATTTGCTCGACTCAATGTATAAAATTTATTTACAACATTTGGCTCTGGAAATTTGAGAATTGCCAGTTCCTTTTGATTCACTCTGACGAGACAACTGACATCACGTGCGTTTCCCAACTGGCTGTGATTTTTCGGTTTGTGAAAGATGGTAAACCTACCGAGATATTTCACAGCTTTGTACCAATCGTTGATCGCACGGCTCGCAGGATATCGGCTGTACTGGAAAAAGTGTTACAGCCTTACAACGCGAAGTCAAAATTGAAAACTTATGACGGCGCAGCTGTCATGAGTGGGTCGAAACATGGTGTTCAATTTATATAAAAGAAGATTTTCCTCGCATTTTTTACATTGTTAAGCACACCAATTTAACCTCGTTATTAAAAATATGTGTCTTGATACCCCTCTCGTCCGTATATTTTTTGCAAATGTTTCGGGGTTTTCTTCATTTTTTTCCGTTTCGCCGAAGCGCTCTGACCTCCTTCGCCAGATAATGAGCCGCCGTCTCCCAGCTTGTGCACCAACACGTTGGAACTTCCAATCACGCGTGGTGCAGGGCGTGTCCGAAATTAGG